GTTCGTTTTACCCTCATGGTAATTACGAATTATTTCTTGTTGCTTTAAATAATCTTTAATATTTTCTAACTCTAATTTTGTTAAAACTAAATCCATAGAGGAGCTTTTAAAGTTATTTTGTATTATGGGAATAATTTCATACATCGCCACAGGGGGATTTATGAGAATGCCGGTCTTTACTTTTGGATTAACATATCCTTTTATTGCGTTTACGACATCCTCCTCAATGTTAGTTTTGGAAATTTGAATATGTGTTCTCATATGCGATTCAAAGGGCTTAGAAACTGAAGGTCGGCTTTTTATATCATCGACAAGCGTTAGAACGATTTGCTTATGATATTTATTTAGTGGAAAATCAGTAATAGGTACTTCTAATATAGGGTTTTCAGAGTCTGTGTGGACTGTATCAGTATTTGAGCTAGCTATTAGAGAAGGTGGATTTTCGCTAGGGTTGGCCCTTACGGAGCTAATTTCTTCGTTATGTATTTCGATACGGGATAATGCATCAGCATTAGTGTTGCATTTTCCTTGCTTATATACTACTGAAAAATCAAATTCACTCAATTTGAGTCGCCATCTAGTAAGACGCGAGTTGGGTTCTTTGATGTTCATAACCCATTGCAAAGGCCTATGATCAGTCACGATTTTAAATTTTCTACCGAAGAGATACGGTCTAAAATATTTCGTGGCCCATACAATTGCAAGGAGTTCCTTTTCAATAGTGCTGTAGTTTAATTCGCTACTATTTAGAGTCCTAGAAGCGTAAGCGATAGCCCTATCCGCACCTATAGTACCCTGTGAAAGAACGGCTCCTATGGCTATGTTAGACGCGTCTGTAGTTAAAATAAACTCTTTTGTAAAATCGGGATATCTCAGTATCGGGTCATTGGTTAAAAGCGTCTTACATTTCTCAAAACATTGAATATAATTTTGATCTAAAGTTATTTTGCAACCTTTCTTTAAACATTGGGTCATGGGTTTTGTTACTTTAGCAAAATCTGGTATAAATTTTCTGTAGTAACCAAGGAGGCCTAAAAATCTTTTAATTTCAGTAGGGGTTTTTGGAAGAGGATAATTTTTTATTGCGGATATTTTGTCTGGGTTTGGCTTGATGCCGTCCTTACTGATAATGTGCCCTAAGTAAGCTGTTTCGAGTTTAAGAAATTCTGATTTGTCCATCTGGATTTTAAAATTCGACTCGCGTAATCGGCTAAATACTTTTTCTAAATTTACTATATGTTCTTGCAATGACGTGGAAAATACGATGACGTCATCGAGATACACTAAACATATTGTATTCTGTAAATCTCTGAGAACATTATCCATCACACGCTGGAAAGTGGACGGACTATTTTTTAAACCCATGGGCATTCTTAAGAATTCGAAGTGGCCATGCTCTACCGTAAACGCTGTTTTTGGTATATCCGCGGGGTTCATCTCAACCTGATAAAAACCACTCGCTAGGTCTAGAGTTGTGAAATAATGACAGTTGCCTAACTTATCTAAAATATCTGTTATGTTCGGTATGGGGTATTTATCGTCCAAAGTTTTTTCATTCAATTTCCGAAAATCTACTACCAATCTCCATTTAGTTTTTCCTGACGCGTCCACCTTTTTGGGTACAACCCAAATAGGGGAGCTCCATGCAGATTCTGATGGTTTAATGATGCCTTGTTCTAACATTTTACTAATTTGATCTTGAACTTCTTGCCTATGTACGAATGGATAACGGTAACTTTTTGTATATATAGGAATTTCATCAGTAGTTTTGATTGAGTGTTTTATTTTATTAGTGAAAGTCAAGTTTTCCCCTTCTAAATAAAATACATCCGCGAAACGTTCGCATAACAGCTCTAAATTAATGCGCTCCTCTTCATTCAAATGATCAGTGCGCAATCGCGATAACACTTCCTTTACGCGCTGAGACGTTTGTTCGGTGCGCATGCACTCAACGTTATAAAGGTGAGCACATACGGGGCGGTCCATAGAAAAAATTACATCGCTACGACTCGGGTTATGGATCTCTAATATACCTCTCTGGTTTTTTACAGTGGTTAAACATTCACTTATGTGACAATTAGATATAACCTGGTCCGGAATAATAACTTCGCCATCTCGGGTATTAATCGGTAACCTAACTAATTTAGAGGAGCCAGCGGGTATAATATCTTCATATAAATTAGCGTTCCGCGAGTCATAAACGTGTATGGGATTTGACGCGTTTTTTGTTAGTAGTAGCTTAGATTTAAAATCAATTGTAGCTTCCCACTTGTCTAGCAAATCGGATCCTATCAACCCGTCGAAGTAATCATGAAAGTTATAGACAAATAGTGTTACGTAACCGCTATCTTTTAATTCCGAAAAGCAAGGTAAGGTTATCGAATAGTCACTACGTGTCACCGCGTGCACGTTGCATACTTCAAAAGGATCATAATTCAATCTTACATTACTAAAATAAGTCTCGACTGCCTTAGGGCTAATAAATGATTGATTCGCGCCTGTGTCTATCAGCAACTTTAAAGGAGGATTTTTAAATTGCAAGTATGGAAGTTGGCGTTGTGTTTGAAGGTTAACCTCTATTTTGGTTTGTCTGACTTTCGAATATCGCGAAAATCCTCTTTTACAGTAGCCGGTTCGTCATTATTAGATATGCAACAATCCACTTCAGGCTGCGGGTAATAACTTTGATCATATTCAATATCATGGTAATTATCGGTATAGCATTCATTAGGCTCATAGTAAGAGTAAAAATCGGAGTAATAATCGCTATAATCATGGTAATTAACGCAATCATTAAAGTTTACTTGGTTACTTTTGAAATAATTGTTATGAGGGGGATTACCGTGTAACGCATTATTAGGTGGCAACGCTTTCGGTATAAAATGACTTACACCACTCATGGGCTTCGGATACTGGGAACCAAATTGTGGTACAGGGTTACGCGGTGTGAATTTAAATGCATTATTAGGATTATAATTAGGGGGAGGAGCTCTAAACATTTGTTGAGTACGTGTTGGACCCGCCGGATTTTGAGTATTAAAATTAGGTCGCCATTGCAGGGGTCCTTGCGGCGTCATTGGTTGTACGAACGGGACCTTTGATGGTCCGGGCAAATTAAAAGTGAATGGCCTAGGCTGCGGTATGTTAAAACCTTGCATAGATTTTTGAGGTGTCATTTGAGGAATTGGTATTGTCTTTTTGTCAGGTAATTGATTATTACGCTGCTGTAAATAAACGACGTTTTGTTCCTCGTGAACAAACTCTAAAGCTTTTTCGATATTCTCCGGCCGCATGCATCTAATTCGCGAACCTAATGGGTCTTTTAGACCACGTATAAAAGCTTGAAGGGTTAATTTTTTATATAGATCCCTCTTTGCCTGTATTGTAGTTGCTACATTTTCGTGAAGCGAAACGTAGGTCATGATTGTGCTAAATAAATTTTGACATTTTTCATAAAACTCTTGGGGGCTGTCGGAACCCTGTGTCAGTAAGGCTAAGTCATTATACAACGCGGTTTCGTCACGTTGGTCGGAGAAATTATTAACAAGTGATTTTCGAATACCAGCCCAGTCTGATGGGATGCCATTGGAATTTATCAATCGGGCCGCGGCGCCCGTTACTTTATTTAATATTCCATTAATAAGGGCTATCTCAGCAAGTCTATTGGGTGAATCCTGGTTAGTAATAAATTCTACAACTAATTGATCGCACAAATGTATAAATCGAGTTAATACGTTGACGTTCCCGTCAAATTCCGGTACTAATCTGAGAGCTTTAAAAATGTGATCTAAGTCAGCCATTTCAACCCCTGAATTATTTAAACTAATTTCTCTATTTAAATCTTGATAGCTATTCCTACTACTAACTCTATTCTCTAACCTAACACTCCGAAATTCTCGTGGATGGAAAATCTTGGAAGGATATTATTTAACACGGGACTTAAAAGTTAGGGGTGAGCAATTCACTAAAAGAATTTTAATGTACTCACATGAATTTCATTTCGGCTTCCTCGCTGTATCGATATCTGGATACACTTGCTGCAGGTCACGACGTGTAGATTCGGATCCTCGAACGGGCTTGATAACCACCCGGGCGGTACGCGACGTGATGATAATTATCGAGTAATTTAAACCGATCGCGAACCGGCCCGCGAGTATCCTACCGACTGCGCCAATTATGTCAGTCCGGCAGGCAAGTCGCAAAAAAAACCGAAATTATTACAAAAACTTTAATTACTTATTAAATAATTACAATTTAAATTTAATTCTAATTGCGCGACAATCGTGTTCGATGTTAGAACAGAAAGTGAAGTAAAAATATAAGTCTTGAATGCGATGCCGCTGTGTGTCGCAACCGCGGGTCACGTTGGCTGATTCGGCGTTCTCACGCTCGTCCCCAGTCTGATGCAATATTTATGGGTATTGATGTGATTTCCATTGCCTTGCGAATTCCGTGGAATTTAATTACTTAACATGCTTATAACTCGAGAACTTCTGGACTGGTTTTCATTTTTTCATGGTTTTCATTTGTTGGATTTGTCTTCACCCCGAATAGTAGAATAACTGATAAAACATCGGAAAATTTTTACAAAAAAAATACATGGCTAACGCTTGCTAATAACTATTTATATCTATCTAATACATACCTAGCGACGAACCCGAGCGAAGCGAAGGTGAGCCGCTAGTATCACATAAACTGATTGGTAAGTGTTGTAAATGTACAATTTATAGTATACATATAATAATAACGAGGTAACCATAATTTTATATACAAAAACTGTAACTCTATGCTTAAAAGAGTAACTTGAGTTTATCGCCGGCTCTTTTCAGCAGAGTTCCGAGCCGTTGTTAGTAGTTCGTTTCCTCAAGTACTGACGGCACTGACTGTAAATAAAATTGATAGAAAAGTGCTCGTATAAGTCTAAATGAATAAAGTAAATTTTCATATTTTCCTAAAACTAAAGGTGTAGGGAGTGTTGCGTGCTGCAGTAGAGCTCGCTAGCAGCTAGTAGATCGCTGCATCGAGCGCGATGCAACGGCTAAATCAGACACAGACGTTTCAGCGTATGTCATTATCCAATTGTTATGTAAGCGGCGACGACCTAAAATCCAATCTGGATACGAGACGGAGCTGGCGGCGCGGCGCGGTGGCCGCAGTGCTCGCACGCTACTCGGCACGAGGCGTAGAGACCGGTTGTCGCTTTGCTTCATTATTTTTTTTTAATAATAAAATTGTTTATCTAAATATATAATATAAAAATGAATCGCTGAATGTGTTGATAAGCGCAAATCTCCAGAGCAGCTGAACTGATTTCGCTAATTCTTTTTTTAGAATATTCCTTGAAGTACGAGGATGGTTCTTACGGAGAGAAAAAGTTAAAAAATTGCCTGAAAAAGTCTAAAAACAACACTTTTCTATACTCCCATACAAAAGATTCGTAATAATACTTGAAAGTCAATTTGAACTTTAATACCATACCATAAAGTTAAAGTGTTAGTGGAGAGGTTCCGGGAAGGCAAAAAAAATTGAGTGACGTTAGTATCGTATAAATATTAATGTCAATATTTGTCAATATTATTAACAAAAAAAAATTATATGCTAACGCTGGCTAATAACTATTTATATCTATTTAAAACGTACCTAGCGACAAACCCGAGCGAAGCGAGTGTGTTTTATGAAAATTTAAAATTGAGATATAAGTATGATTTTTTAAAATAATCTGTTCTAAATAATATCTGTATATTTTTTGGAACATAAAATTAATAATATGTAAATATTCCTCTTTGCAAACAAGTGTTTTTGATTTGGAAATTAAGGAATTTTAATTTTGAGAAATTACAATAGTATATACAAATATAGAAGTAATATCGTTAATTACTTATGATATTTTAAACTTTTTCATTTAAATACTTATATACATAGTGAGTTGCGTCACTCAGCTCTTTCGTCGCCTTCGTCTTTCGTCGGATTAAGTTGATATCCAAAACATAAAAAAATATAAGAAACATCAAATCAAAGAAGAAAGATAGAATATGAACACTGGGACAGTCAAATCTTTTACGTGTGAATAAAACCTAGAGCTATCGACTTAAAAGAAAGATTGGTAGCCTCCATCTAATTTGCACTCTCGCAAAAGCCCGCCGTCAGTGGGACCGCACGTTTTTAGTGCGGCTAAATCTGAAAGTGCGTTTGACTTTGCAGTCGGTTAGTTTTCAAGGGTGTACAGAATGTGGTCAGGTTGCTCTATTTACTCACTCCGACAAATGCTGATATTCATTTATACTAGTTTCTACTTTATATGTAGAATATTGTATATGAGATAAAAAAAATTGTTTATTTTGTGGGAAAAATAATTGAGTGAATATTAAATTAATTATTCATAGATTAACGCTACGTTAGTTTTATTTATGAATTTTAGTGGTAGTCGTTTAAAGAAATAAGCAAGTACTATAAAGTATTTAGTTTTTTTCTATAATTTTTCAATTTTATATTAGCTTTGTCTAGTTTCAGAGATTTGTATATAAATCATTGTGACACATTAGCGTAGCGACGACGCCAACTCTTTAACGAGAGGCGAAAAGGTTAATGATGCTTAAAAATTCCTATAGAAAGAAATTTAGTCAAAGAAAGTTTTTTCTACATATATTATGTCCTTAATTTACTTTAATTTGAAAAATGGCCAAAATGCTTAGTGTATAAACTTCCGGTTTTGATTAATAGGGATTAGGTAAGATTTAATTATATTGTAACTTGAAACTTGTTTCAGATTTATTATTGAATAAAAAAATTCAATACGTTAAATGAAAAAAAGTTTGCTTTTTATTATTTATATTAAAACTAGCGACTCACTCTCGGTCCGCTCGGGTTAGTCCCGAAGTTGATTCTCCATACAAGCTTTCATTCCTATTTTCCTTAAGGGACGATTTCTGGGATAAAAACTCTCTACTGTCCTATGTTATTTCCAGGGTCTCAAACTATCTTCTTACCAAATTTCATCAAAATCAGTCCAGTAGTTTCGAAGCCTATTCAGTACAAACAAACAAACAAAAAATCAAATCTTTCCTCTTTATAATATAGACGATAATTATATTGTTATAAATGCTACTCAATTAAATCCTTTTGTTAATAGGTTCTAAGTTTGAAACTTATTCAAAGCAAAATTAACTTCGCCATTGTCATATAAAATAGAGAAGACGATAGAAACTAATCTATATGAAAATTATTATTATGCTTTCATCTATATAAACTATAAAAATACCACATGGTTAACATCTTACACATTACTTATATTAAACTAGCATTGCCCGCCTGCATTTAGATGACCAAATTCTTAGGTTTTACATATTAGTATACTTGTACAGTCAATATACTGCAGCCCTTATTTATCAGTGGGCAGATTAGATTTTTAATATACTAATTTTATCATTATTTCTATATTTATATTATTAAAAAATTTTTATTATTGCAGTTTTTGTATTTTTTCCTCAGAAATGAGTCATTTTCCCGCGGTAAAAAGTATCCTATATGTTGACCCGGGTAACCAGCTACCATCAAATACCAAATTTCATCAAAATCCCTCCAGTGGTTTTTCTGTGATGCGGTAACAGACAGACAGATAGACAAAAAATATAAAAAGTATAGATTGGGCTCTGTATCAATAATAATGTTTATTTCAATAAGATTTTACAAAAAATATTTAATGTACAGATTCGGCTTAGTTACAATTTTATTATATGTATAGACTATGAGGCATATTCTCTAGTTAGCCGCTTTACACGCAACGACGTAGTAAGTAAAATCGCAGGCGCAGGTGTATGCGTAGGTCGGATATAGCGCTGCCGAGTGCAAAGTATCGCTTCATATCATGCGATATTTCGACTCCGAAATATGCTACAAAGATGTAATGATCGTGTAATTGAACTGCTTCGGCCGTTCAGATTACAAATGTAATACAGTTAAGGCAATTACGGCACTTCACAACGGGTTCAGTTATTATATTATGTATATTATAATATTAATGCGATATGTGTATCATTTGAGTATTGTTATTTCATAATTGGCTTGGCTCTGTAGGCAGAGTATTTATGTCTATTCCAGAGGTCGCGGGTGCGAGTCCCGGTCGAGGCTAATTGTAAATTAAGAATATAAATACTTGTAGTTTGTAGTGCATAATTTTTAAAATATCCCGTGGCCAGATACGAGTAACCTAATGGGGCCTCTGAGTGCGTAAACAGGCATCTATAATATATAAATGTAAATTTTCGAAACGCTGAAAATATAGTTCGTTTATATCTACATACTTTTAAATAGATTTAAAGCTTTGTTTTCTACCATCTTAGACAATACTTTCATTTTCTCCTTCTAACCCACTAAAATATATGGCACAGATATTTACTTTCCCGAGTGTGCGGCTTTCTAAGACAGAGGAAAATCCTCTCGTTCAGAATACTCAGAAAACATATTTCTAGTAATAATGTGTGTAACAACGCTAAGCCTTAGTGAAATATATGCAAAGTGTATCGGCAGCATACGTGAGAGGAGAGGTCCCTCTATGTAACCGCTTGCTGGTGTATTGTAAACACACGGGGGGAAATTCAATTTCAAACGTCAGACAATATTGAAAGCTATGAAATACATGTTTTGTGCTCTAAGAAGTCAATAGTATTTCTCTATGTGAGAATATATAGCGACTCTTAGTACGGTGTTTGTAGCTAAGTATAGATGATGGTTTTATTTCTATCTAAGCAATAAGCAACATAGTTGGTAATATCTCAAGAATTCTCTACAAGAAATAACAAAGATTCAAACTACTACATTGTATGTATAGGGGTTAAATTACTACAAGATCTCATTATAATCTTTTAATTTTTTCTTGTTTACATGTGTTTCATTAAAATTTTACAATTAATATTATTAAATTTATATTTTGCTATCAAATTTGTATTTTAATTTTAAAGTCCATGTTTAAATTCTGATTAATAATATTTCACATCGCAAATAAGCTTTCAATTCAATATTTCAAATTAGAGCGTTCAAACGGCTTTTATTCATCATTGGTTATATAAAAAAGATCAGTCAAAAATTTACAGCGCCTTAAAGCAGACAACTTGGGCATGGGTTTTTCTTATTAACGCCTCCACTCGACTGCTAGTTTCCAACGGTAGAGCGGCAACACGCGTCGTTACGTCACACACGTATTGTCTTGCTCCCGGCTTAGAGTTAACTAAGAGCCAATGTTGTCATTACGTGTTTACTACTGACGGCATGGACCGTCCATAATAATATTTAATAATATAAGTGAAAGTACTTGTTTGTTCGTCTGTCTCATTTTCACTCTGAAAATTGTTATTATAGTATCGTAGTGCAGCGCTTGCGCACAGCGTTGGTACCCTATCACCAAAATTATTATTAAGATTCCAGTCAGTAGTCGCACGAATATTCATTTCAGTGTGTGAATTATATCGAACGAAATTGTAAAGGAAAGATATTTTTTCTTTTAAACTACGATGTATGAAACAATTATAAAATTGAAAAAGATATTTTTAAATATTACATATCTCTTGACTGGTTCTAATGCTTTTAAATTTTAATATTTTTAGTATCTTTTTGAACCAGAGCTAAATTATTTTTTTGCACTTTTCATTGGTACAATTACTACTTGTTTGCATAATTTTATATTTATTAAACTTTTTCCTATTTACATTGTACCTATACGATGAAAATTTAGTAACCATTTTTACTTAATATTATATTTCCGAGTAACGGATCTTAAATATTCTCAGCTTATTTAAATAACTGATTAACGTTGATTCAGGTCAGATGTACTCACAACACAAATATGAAAGTGATTTTGTAATTCTATCTTACTTTCATGGTTCATTAAAATCGTAAAAATGCAGTGTTTTGTACTAAATGCTAAAAAATATTAGCATTCTCATGTAAATCGTAAATTTAGCTAAACTAAGTTTGTTTTTATGCAGGTCTATCACTAATACAAACATAACATTAAATAATTCAATCTGTATAGTAATGTGAAAGTTTATGAGTATGTATATTTGTTACTCTTACACGCCAGAACGGCTGAACGGATTTGGATGAAAGGCACAGAGATAGATTATAGGCTGGAATAATATATAGGTTACTTTTTATCCCGGAAAAATGTACGGTTCCTGTGGGATAGGTTTATTTTTGTTTTCCTAGAGGCGAACCT